ATTAGACCATGTCCCCCTTTATTGCTTGCTGCCAAAATTTGTCATTTAATACCACGCATGCCCAGCGCTGGCAAAATTTTTAGCACTTACTTACGGAGTTCTACCAGCCCTGGACATGGATGTTTTATACCTTATCATTGAACAACAGACGATAGGATTACTTTTGACTGTTCTTCCACATAAATATGTCAAAATGTATTTAAAATGACAATTGCTTCATTACTATTCTCATCGCAGTCCAATATACTTACAGTAAAGGCCTGCAAATGTTGAACTATAAAACATAGCGACATGTGTCACATCATGCAAGTGCCAGTTCATATTATGTCGCTCATACATGTTTCACAATAACACTGACGAATAATTGAAATAAAATCATGCATCAAATCTAAGCATGTCAACACAAGCAACATATGCGACACATGCGACATAGTTAGCATTATTAATTCAATTTTATATACGGGAAGAGATTTTGTAAATTTTTTAAGCACCTATTATAGTAAAATAAAGAATTGTCTAATTAAAAATATCTATAGTATATTTTCATCCAAGGCAGGATCAAACAGTATTAAAAATATGCTACAGAAGCACAACAGCGAATGACAGCATAGCTAAGTAGCAACGACATGCTAAACCAGTATGTTTGAGATGGAATGACATGGCATAACCCCTCGTTTGAGATGACATAACATAGCAATGCATGCAATTTTTGAAAAAGACATTTTTACAGAAAATGTTGAATTTCGTAGCTCTTTAACTTACAGCAAAGACAGACGGCAGCGTTGACCCGGATCAACTCGTTAATTTAATTATTAAGAAATTAACTGCAGTTGGTTCAGGATAAGTCCGGTAGCTAATCCTCAAAATCAATGCGGATCAGAGGAATGGAAGGATGACAACACAAGCCAAAACAACCAGCTGTTGTCTATTGTACTAGTAAGCACAAACTAATAGAGGTGGAAGAATATCAATGATGCTATCGATATATCGATGGTTTGTTTTTTAAAAAAATACTATCGATGTTTTAACACTATCGATACTATCGGCTGTAATGCAAGACCAATAAGAAAACTGTCTCCCTCCGGGGCCCATAATGTATAATGAATAAAACGATGGGTCTTGGTAACTCTTCCAATAAGAATGAGGATTTGGTAGTTCTTCTTACAAGAAAAAAAGGACTCTAAAGCTAAGGAAAGTAAATCTATCGCAGCGCTGCTTATTATGCTTAGCGTCAGGATTATTATTAATCAAAAAATTAATTAACCGATTAATCGCGCATCCTTATTGCAGCCCCTTTTGTGTGACAAAAATGACATGCACCTTTTAAAACATTATGGTCTTGTGTTAACAATATGCGTATGATAATGAAAGTCAACGTAAAAAGGAATAAATAAAGCAGTTTTCTTAATGGTAATCAGGGATCTTAAACTGTTCAGAAAAGTTAGTGATAAATGTTTTATTAATTTGTTTAATGTTATGGATCCTCTATATTATCCGCCATCAAAAACAACGCTTAATATACATATATAGTATTTGGTATCAAATACCTTTGGATTCCAGCATCATCTGTTGAGTCAGCGAGAGCTTTCAGCAAGGTCGGATTAAATACTAACGATCGCCGAACAAAACTGAAGGTTTTTCAGAAAAATTTGTATGCAAACAAATAAAATTGCACAAGATATAGTACATGTAATTTCATAAAACGGCACCTTTTAATAAAAATTATAATTTTTTTTATAAATGAAATATGAGCGATAGTATCGATACATCGATAGTGTTCATCAATAGAAATAATAATAGATTGGCGCTTACACATATGTTAGTGTTTGGCCGAGCTTCTCCTCCGACTTGTGGCGTGCGCCTTGGTGTTGACACACAAAGCGGAGGGACCTACAGTTTTACGCCGACTCCGAACGGCGATTGTATTTTTATGAGAAGCTATTTTTCATGGCAGAAATACACTCGGAGGTTTGCCATTGCCTGCCGAGGGACGACCGCTGTTAAGAAAAAAACTTTTTCTATATTTTTTGCGATGTTGCTTTGATCAGGGCTTGAACCCAAGTGCTGATGGGTGAAAGCGCACACTGCTTACCACTACACCACAGCGGCCGACAAGTGTTCATCAACACTATCGGCATGTATCAATAGTCAATACTATCGATAGTTTTCCCCCTCTACAAACTAAGCGAGTTTGGCGTTCGCGGTAGCAGTGGTGAGAGCTGCGCACTACGATTCCGTAGGACCCAGGTTTTATCCTCGATTCGAGTGATTATCAATAATTTTTATATTTTTTTTTTTACATATGCATCTTATTTTACTATTTTCGTTTTGTTTACTTTCCACAACTATAATTTCATTAAAAAAATAGTTAATAAAACTACTTTAGTGAGTTTAAAAAAATTAAAATAAAAGTTGAACTGGCTGTGGGACTCGAGTTCACGACCTCGTGGCTCGTTAACCCGCTTTATTGCCTCCTTTCAGGGAACATACAATTTTGATTAGATCAACTACGCCGTTAGCCTGGATCAACGTTGTTGTCTGTCAATACTTTTACTCACCTCCTACCTGTTGCTGGCGGGAGTACATACACATAGATATGTGATGTCCAGATTAGTATGGGACTACCTCTGAGACACTACCTTTCCGAAGCAAAAAGAATTATCGGTTGACGTGGTCCAAAGTTATGCGGTTCTACTGACGTTTAAAATAGTAAGCATATTAAAAAACTCTGTCATTTTTGAAACTGTTTTAGATTTAAAACAGGAGTGTACGCGATTTCCGAAGTTAATGCGTATTTTGAAAGTGCATTTACTGAAATATGAAACCAATTGAGCGATCCGAGAAAAGCAGAACTATGTGTAGTGTATTTATAACGGTATATTTTAATGTAATGAATTTTGGAAATTTACGAATGGCCGTAGCCGAGTAGTTCAACACTGAAAATAAAATCTGCGTAAATAATAGTTGCATTTGTTTACTCATTTTCAATAAAATCCAGTAAAAGTTTTAACAAATTTTCATGTTTTGGCGTTTTCGTAGGCAAAAACGTGCAAAGTAGGGGAAATTGAGAGAGCGAAAAATCACAGTTAAAGTGCAAGTTTTTTCGAGATTTTACTGGATAAATTTTTACTTGTAAGAACTTGCCAGTACGAAACACAGCTGATCGCATGTTGCTGGATGAAATTTAAACAAATAAGGTAACTGTTTGTGGGTTTTTATTGTTGAAATTCACAAAATAAACCTATTTAAATATAAAATATATTGTTTTATTAGGAATTTGCTGCGAATAAACAACCAATTTATCAGCTGTTCATGAAACTTGCAAATTATTACTGGAATAGCGCTCGCGTACTTTTTTGCAAATTTTTTCTATGAGAGCGAATTCTTAGAAATAAAGTTACTGGAGAGTTTCTGGCAAGTTACTGGATAATTTGTAAACAAACACAACTAATATAACGAAAACTTGCGTACATCTTACGAAATTTTTCGTCATTTTGAGCAACAAAAGTTTTCGTTAATTGTACAAAACCGTTTTCGAACATATTACGAAAATATGAAACATCAGATCTTTTACTATTTACTAACGATTTTCGTACTATTTACTAAAGAACCTCGTACCACTTCCTTGTTTTTTTTACGAAATTTTAGTAAAATGCACAAAATAATTCGTATATTTAAGGAAAATATTTTCGTAAAATCTGCGGTTGTTTCGCAGAATGTGCGATTGCTTTCATACGCTACACTGTAAAAAAAAACATAGTACGAATTATAACACAAAACTTTTATTCTGTTTTTCTATCGTAAATTTTAAGCGTTTTAGCAACACGTTTTACAAAAACGCTTAACATTGATGAGGCATCATTGGAAAGGTATTTTCTCACCCTTTTTATTTCTTTGCTAATAAACTCATTCAAAGGATGAAAGAGAAAGGTAGGATGAACGAACGTCGTTAAAAGTTGAGTTAAGAAATGTTGGCATTTGAAAAAAGGGACACGAAAGACTTTTATTTTGGACAGAGTTAAAAATAGTGGGAAATTACCTTCTTACTGAGATTCCATAAGTCTAAATCAGAATAGTTTTGGCCCAGTTATTCAAGTTTTTCGTAAATCAATCTTTGAAAAGCCCTATCATAGAAAATTTTTTAAGAACGCCCTATCTCAGAATTTGATAACAGAGCGCCCTATTTCAACTGAAAACATAATGAACATATTTTGAGATAGGGCATTTTTGAACCGAATTCTGAAATAGGGCATTCAATCAAATTCTGAAATAAACGTTCTTCACCCAAATTCTGAAGTAGAGCGTTCTTTAAAATGTATAAAGCTCGGTATATTCAAAAATCATATTGTATATCTCTCCATTCAGCTTCGACTACCTTGATTTAAGAGAATCCGTGGTAAACAGCCAATGGTAACTCACGAAGATATTGAAAATGGTAATGAAATGTTATTGAAGTGACCTCCTTGACTGGATTTGACCGAGTTATGAAGAGTGCGCGATAACTCATAATCTTCTTCAATTAGGTTGCTATATGTCTGGAAGGAATTTTATGAATGTATCCTATTATCTCGCAGCATAGTACATTTCGTACTCAATTGAAACTAAGCCTGGTAAACGCAGAAGTAGAGCTTATACAAAATGCAGCTAAGAGTACGGTAATGAATTTGCACCTTCTAGTCTGTAAGGTCATATTTGCGGTTGCATAAAGATCAATATTTTCTTTTCCTGTTTATAGCGATTTTTAAAAAGTGGTATAACTATTGATAATTACATATTTCTACCATAGCTCTACATGCAGAAGTTCGTCCCTATAGACTTTATTAGCCTGTGTTTTAAACAACCGTTAATGACAAAATAACTTTTCAAGATGGCACAACGCCGAAACCGGTTTGTCTCCAAACCAAATTTGACAAGGGATGACTGAAAAGCGTTCCACATTACATCAACTTTTTAAGCATTTTTATGAATTTTAACAAATGGAACACTTCTTTTATTTCCAGCCATCCAACATCATGTGCCTCTATTGCCGAGATCATGTCGGTTTTGTTCTTCAACACATTGCGTTTGAACTTGAAATTCCCACGTGATCCCTCAAGCGATCGTTTTGTGTTGTCCAAGGGTCACTCTGCCCCAATTCTTTATGCCGCCTGGGCTGAAGCTGGTCTATTTCCAATTGAGGAATTGCAGAACTTGCGTAAAATAGACAGCGATCTTGAAGGTCATCCAACACCACGTTTGAACTTCATCGATGTTGGTACCGGCTCTCTGGGTCAGGGTGTTGCTGTTGCTGCTGGTATGGCGTATGTAGGCAAGAACTACGATAAGGCCGACTACAGGTAGGTGTTGAAGAGGGCGTTGTCTTTATTTATGCATATGTATGTTTACAAAAATCGTGCATTCCATGTCAACTGGTCCACCTAAATATCTCAAAAACGGGTAGTTGTACCACGAAACCTTGCACAGATTTTTCAGAAGTACTTTTTTCGTTGCATACAAATTCGAAACTCTTAAATTAGATTTTCAGTATGTACAATTTTCAAGTTGCTGAAAATCGCATTGGTTTTTGGCATTTTTTTTGTGGCTGACAGTCTCACGCAATTTTTCTATACAAATGCTCAACAAGTTCTTTTTATACAGAGACTGTCAGCAAAAAATATTAAAAGTTGCAAATTTGTATACAACACTTCAATCAATTTCAAAATAATGGGATGAAAGTACATATGACAAAGAAAATCTATGCGAAGTTTGGTGAAAAGGTTTGGTGGCCCGGTTGACATGTGCACAGTTTTCGTACTCGTAGGTACATATAGTAGTGCTAATATTTTTTCTTTTAATTTTAACAGAACCTATGTTGTTGTCGGTGATGGTGAGTCCGCAGAAGGTTCTATTTGGGAATCACTCCACTTTGCTGGCCACTACAAGTTGGACAACTTGTGCGTCATTTTCGACGTCAATCGTTTGGGTCAATCTGAACCCACCTCGTTGCAACATCAAATGGAAGTTTATCGCAAACGTTTGGATGCTTTTGGTTTCAATGCCCTGGTTGTCGACGGCCATGACGTTGAAGAGTTGTGCAAGGCGTTCCATGAAGCTGCCACCACCAAAAATAAGCCCACTGCCATTATTGCGAAAACGTACAAAGGTAAATTCTTCCCAAACATTGAGGATCTGGAGAACTGGCACGGCAAGCCCTTAGGCGATAAAGCCAACGAAGTGATCAAGCACTTGGAAGGACTGATTGTTAATGCCAACGCCGTTATTCCACCCAAGAGCCCAACTAAGCTGAAGCCTGCACCGGTGGTGGATATCACAAATGTGAAGTTGTCTTCACCACCAAACTACAAGTTAGGCGATCAAATTGCCACACGCTTGGCATACGGAACTGCTTTGGCCAAGATCGGCCAAAACAACGACCGCGTCATTGCCTTGGATGGTGACACCAAGAACTCGACCTTCTCGGACAAGTTGAAGAATATATTCCCTGAACGCTACATCGAGTGCTTCATCGCTGAACAAAATCTTGTGGGTGTCGCCATCGGTGCTGCGTGCCGTGACCGCACAATCGCGTTTGTTTCTACTTTCGCCACTTTCTTCACTCGCGCTTTCGATCAAATTCGTATGGGCGCCATTTCACAGACAAATGTAAACTTTGTTGGCTCTCATTGCGGTGTAAGCATTGGCGAGGACGGCCCCTCACAGATGGGTTTGGAAGACATTAGCTTGTTCCGTTCCATTCCAGGCAGTACCGTGTTCTACCCCGCCGACGCTGTAAGTACCGAGCGCGCCGTCGAATTGGCAGCCAACACAAAGGGTGTCTGCTTCATTCGCACATCGCGTCCTAACACCGCTGTCATCTATGGCAACGATGAATTGCTCCAGATCGGAAAGGGCAAAATTGTGAAGCAATCACCCAAGGATCAAGTGCTGTTGATCGGCGCTGGTATCACCCTCTATGAATGCCTTAATGCTGCTGCTGAACTTGCGAAGAGTGGCGTACATGCACGAGTCCTTGACCCATTCACCATCAAGCCTTTGGATTCTGAGCTTATCATCAAGAACGGACGCGCCGTTGGTGGTCGCATTGTTGTCGTTGAAGATCACTATCAACAAGGCGGTCTGGGTGAAGCAGTACTGAGTGTGCTGGCTGAACACCGTGACTTTGTGGTGAAACATTTGTATGTGCCAACAGTGCCACGCTCTGGCCCACCAAATGTGCTCATCGATATGTTCGGAATTTCTGCGCGCAATGTAATCAGTGCCGTTGGAGCTGTGCTGAAGTTGTAAGTTCATGGTAACTTAAAGAGGCTTTCCTCTGAAATTGTTTCACTTAATAACCACTTTTGGTTCAAAAAAATCGAAAGAGATTTTTGGAAGTTTATGAATGAATTAATTTTGTATGGCCTTTAAATATTAATTATGATTAAGAAATAAACTTACATCTATGTATCTATGTAAATCGGTTTCTTATTCTTTAAATAGGTGTTTAATAAAACACACTTCACTTAAAAAGCGATTAAAGTTTTTACATTTAAAACTCTTTTCGAAACTTCACAAACAATAGTTACGACTAAATCGGAGGAAAAGTTAGATTATGTTGGAATGGATGGAGAGTAAAACTTTCGCACACATAGACCCGTTGTGATACCAAATGGAGTTACTGATCCCTTTTGATTTTAGAAAGATCACTTGGGTATAACCTGTGAGATCTCTACAAGGCCTTGAAAGTACGGTTTACCAAGCGTACGTAATACCTTTTCGTATACTTAAAACCCGGCGATGGCATAAAAGGTCTTGTACCACGACAATGGTTCATCCCTTGTCTTATATCGTGTAAACCAATTAGACAGTGGTCTTAGGATGCCTTATACGAAAGGGCATTTCTTTTCTATTTAAACTTAAGAACGGCGTTGTACCTATCATCTTATAGGAAGTCCAGGTAACCTGTGTGCTTTCAATTTCATTTCAGCAATTATTGCCTACTACTTAGAGTCATGTGATCTGTAAGAAACTGCTTAAACATGGCTATTGGTACCGTTTCTTTTCCTGTATATATCATCAAAAAATACTGATAATTCGCTTCAGATAATATGCTTTTAAAAATAAATTTATGCAAGTTTAATGTAGAGTATGTAATAAATAAATAAACTTTTTAAAGTTTCATAAATTTTATTTTTTTTTAAATAAAATTTACAAAGAACTCAAACATTTTCAACCGGCTTCAAAAAAAGCGGAGGTTATCAATTCTTCGGAGTTATTTTTTCGTCTTTTATGTATGCCACCGCATAACTTTGGACCGCGGAAACTGATTCCAATAATTCTTTTTTTTTTAGGGGAAAGATGGTACCTTAAGGGTCGCCCCGTAATTTGGTTTAGATCCGATAATTAAATCGTGAAAAAATTAATGGTACTCCTAAATTTGTATATGAGAATTGAACTCGGTTTTGCTTTTTGCTTAAAAATTACTTGTTTAAAAAAAAGTTCTATAAACACAAGACGCACTCAAGTTTCAAAAGTTATAAAACATTTTACAAAAGAATTTTAATATGAATAAATTAAATAATTCCATAAAATTTTTACACTTTATGTTCATTTTCGTCGATTTCTGGTTTCTCATTTTTTTAATAATTCGAATACCGAAAATTTAACTGAACTTGTATTTTTATCATGTAGCTCATTTTGGTGCAACGAATTCGAAGTTAGAAAATTAAATCTTCGAATGCTTGTTGTCAGTGGTAAACTAACTTATGCTGTAAAGTGTAAAAAGCAACAGTGAGTGAGTATGCATTGCATATTTCAGCACAATGATTTCATTCGCAGTTAAACTTTAAAGAGCTCTCAAGAAAAATGAAAAGTTCTAACAAAATGACACACAAGAAATGGAAAACAAATTTACTTCTATCAAAATTTCTTAAATCAGTCTGCAGCTCTCAAGAAAAAATGCTATTCTATTTCTTATTTTATTTATTCAAGAAAATTTGCTTTTTCAAGCAACAGAAATAATAAGAAATATTTTTTGTGTTTTTCTTGAGATCTGGATTTTAAGCCTTAAGATACAGTTTGTAATTGAGCTTATGAGCTTTGGGGGAGGGAAAGGGTTTGAGCCCCAAAACCCACCCCTTGTGTGCGCTAATGCTAAGTGCTCATATTTACTCAATTCTAAACACTTTGTGTGTAGTTTTTCTCTACGTGACAAATTTGGTATGTAAAAGTAAACAGACAGTGTTTAATTTGGCACACAATACACTCTAAAAATTTTTTGTTTAAATTTGCGCATATTAAGATAGGTAACCAGTTTCCTCTCTTAATGAATGCAAATTTACACACCGGGTTTATTAAATTAAACACTGCTTGCTTACTTTTACTTATCATATGTGTGGCGTAGAACAAATTTCAAATTTGGTTTTTGAGTCCTAAACATTTATTGTTCACAATTGCACAGTTTGCACATAAAATGTTTAAAATTTCCTCTAAAAAATTTTCGTGTAAATTTACGCATATAAAGAGAGGTAACTAGTTTCCTCTCCTATTGTGTGCAAAATTAAACACTGTCTGTTTACTTTTCCATGCCAAATTTGTCACGTAGCGCACACAAGGGGTGGGTTTTGGGGTTACATTTATTATGATTTAAGAAATTTTAATAGAAGAAAATTTCTTTTCCATTTCTTGTGCGTCATTTTGTAAGAATTTTTCTTTTTGCTTGAGAGCTCTTTAAAGTTTAACTGCGAATGGGAACATTGTCATAAAAATACGCAATGCATACTCACTTACTGTCCCTTTTTACGCTTTACAGCCTTAAAAATTTATCTCTGATATGTACTTAACAAGCATTCGAAGATTTAATTGACTAACTTGGAATTCGTTCCACCAAAATGAGCTACATGATAAAAATACAAGTTCAGTTAAATTTTAGTTATTCGAAGTATTAAAAAAATAGAAACCAGAAATCGACGAAAATGAATATAAATGTGTAAAAATTTCATTGAATTACTTAATTTATTTATATAAAAATTCTTTTGTAAAATTTTGTATTACTTTTGAAAGTTGAGTGCATCTTGTGTTTATAGAATTTTTTATTAAACAAGTAATTTTTAAGCAAAAAGCAAAACCGATTTCAATTCTCATATATAAATTTAGGAGTACCGTTGATTTTTTCATGGTTTAATGATCGAATCTAAACCAAATTACGGGACGACCCTTATGGTACCATCTTTCCGGTAAAAAAAAGTTATGCGGTGGAATACATAAAAGAAGAAAAAATACTCCGAAGAATTGCTAACCTCCCCTTTTTTGAAGCCGGTTGAAAATGTTTGAGTTTTTTGTAAATAAAATGCAATTTATGAAATTTTAAAAAGTTTTTTTATTTATTTCATACTATACATAAAACTTGCATAAATGTATTTTAAAGAGAGAATTTTCAGTTTTTTTTTTTATGATATATTTTTAGAAGTATAAACCCTTCCCTTAAACAACTCATGTTCAAAATCAAATCTTAAACATCCTGTGCGTATACTTAAACAGATTCTGGTTGAGAAATAAACACTTTTCAATAGTAGTTTTACATTCACTTTTTAGAGTGTAGGAGAGGAAACCGGTTACCTCTCTTATATGCGTAAATTTAAACAAACATTTTTTAGAGGAAATCTTAAATACACTCTTAAAGAATGCAAATTTACACACCGTGTTATTTGTCACGTAGCGCACACAAGGGGTGGGTTTTGGGGTTAAATTTATTATAAAAAAGTTGACCACTGATATGTACTTAACAAGCATTCGAAGATTTAATTTGCTAACTTCGAATTCGTTCCACTAAAATGGGCTACATGATAAAAATACAATTTCAGTAAAATTTTCGTTATTCGAATTATTAAAAAATTAGAAACCAGAAATCGACGAAAATGAATATAAAAGTGTAAAGATTTCAGGAAGAGGAAGAGGAAGGCCTCCTCTCCGTTGGAAAGACCAGGTGGAGAAGATCTTGGCTTCACTTGGCATTTCCAATTGGCGTCAGTTAGCACAGAAGAGAAACGACTGGCGTGCTGTTTTGGACTCGGCCAAAATCGCTTATTCGGTTACAGCGCCAATAAAGAAGAAGAAGAAGAAAGTTTTCATGGCATTATATTATTTATTTATATTAAAACTCTTTTGTAAAATTTTGTATTACTTTTGAAAACTGAGTGTATCTTGTGTTTGTAGAACTTTTTATTAAACAAGTAATTTTTAAGCAAAAAGCAAAACCGACTTCAATTCACATATACAAATTTAGGAGTACCGTTAATTTTTTCATGATTTAATGATCGGATCTAAACCAAATTACGGGACGACCCTTAAGGTACCATCTTTCCGGTAAAAAAAAAGACTTAATGGAATCGGTTCACGCGGTCCAAAGCGGTGGAATACATAAAAGAAGAAAAAATACTCCGAAGAATTGATAACCTCCCCTTTTTTGAAGCCGGTTGAAAATGTTTGAGTTCTTTGTAAATTATATGTAAATAAAATGTAATTTATGAAACTTTAAAAAATTTATTTCATAAGGTACACAAAACTTGCATAAATGTATTTTAAAAAGCGAATTTTCAGTATTTTCTGATGATATATATTTAGAAGTATAAACCCTTTCCCCCCAAATATATTTCTGGGTGCGCCCCTGGCAGCTAGTATTTGTTATTTGGAAAAAATATATTTTTACTTTCAAAATGTTTGTAATTTTAAACATTTCATGTGTATACTTTGTGTATATTTTAAACAATTCATGTTCAAAATCAAATCTTCAACATCTTGTGCGTATACTTGAACAGATTCTGGTTGAAAAATAAACACTTTTCAGTGGTAGTTTTACATGCACTTTTTAGAGTGTATTTTATGTGTAAACTGTGAAATTGTGAACAATAAATGTTTAGAACTCAAAAAATAAATCGAAATTTGTTCTACGCCACATATATGATAAGTGAAAGTAAGCAAGCAGTGTTTAATTTAATTAACACGGTGTGTAAATTTGCATTAATTAAGAGAGGAAACTGGTTACCTATCTTAATATGCCCAAATTTAAACAAAAATTCTTTAGAGTGCAGAAAACTGGAAGTTAAAAGGTGATAAGTATATTTTTGTTAGTTTAACAGGTACTGAATATGCGTTGGTTTTTAAGGAATTGAATAATTAAAGTTATCAGCTTAATAAAAATTAAATAAAAAAACTACGTGAACATCCTTTATTAAAAATGAAAATGTCATGAATGTATGTGTATATTTAAACATTTCTTTATTTATTATAATGATACTACTTAGTAGAATAAAATCAGTTATGAAAATACACGCAAATTAAAATTACATATAGTCGCCCGTATGCCAGAAACATGTAATATATAAAAATCTCGTGTCACGGTGTTTGTGGTCGAACTCCTCCTAAGCGGCTCGATCGCTCTTTATGAAATTTTTGTAGATATATATTAAGTATGAGAAT